AGTGCGGTTCAAGTCCTGGAACCAGCGGCTTGAAAAGTATGCGGGGCGCGTATGCTATCACACCCAAAATCCCCAAAAGGCAGAACGAGGGGAGTGCGGGTGACCATCCTCCACGGTGGGTACTTTCTCACTTTCCCTGTCACTCCTGCGGCTCACGAGTCCTCTGACAAAATGGAAGGAAAAAAACATGCAAACTGTGTATTATGAGAAAAACGATGGCTGTATCTCAAAATATGGTTGTACCCAAACTCGTATTTTAATCTCATTTTCGACGAGATTTTAGAAGTCCCTTGTATTTAAAACATTTTGGAATAGGTTGAAATATTTTACATAAAAATCTGTAACTTCACCTAAAAATGTGGATTCCAATTGCGGAGGAAAATGGGAAGATCTGGCCATTGGTGGACTAGAGCCCAGGAAGCTGCTGCCACGGTTCCATGACAGACAGACCCAACTCCAGGCTTCCTGGCCCAGGAGTGGGTTTCCACTGTGACCCTTGGAATGGGCATACCTATCTGGCATGGGGCGGGTTTCAGTGACAGAACCTCCCCACCGTCACATCAGTACAGGGACCTCAGAGGTCACCCCATCTGATGGCCTCTAACTCATCCCTGACCAGCTGCCACACCTACAGGCCGGGGTGGTTCCCCGGGTCCTCACTCTGAGCTTGCACAATGCTGTTTAGGAAGTTGTTTCCTTAACTGTGAGGCAGAACTCTTATCTTTTTGTTATTTTCTACTTTCCGAGCCTAGTTCTGCTTCTGAAAACATACACGTACACACATACACACACGTACACACACACGTACTACCTCATCTTGCTAGGAGTAACTGGGGGAAGAGCTGGCCGTTGCAGTTGACAAACTGTGGTTGTCCAAATTTCAGAAAAGAGCTGATGAAGGAAACGCGCCACCCTGTAAGTTGCAGAGGTGTTCTTTTAAAATTTTTAGCTGATGGCATGTGTGATTGCTGGGGATGGGGGAGTGAGAAAGCACTCTCCCCCTCCCCGCCATGGGGGACAGTCACACCACGGTCTCCTCTCTTCCAACCCTTCTTTCAGGATGTTGGGCAAGCATGCACACATACCCGGCGGGTTTGCTCAAGCCTCCAGATCCGGGATGTGAAAGGTGTAGTTGGGACCAGCAGTTAGCGTAATGGCTATGTCGCTGGACTCCCACATAGTGGACCGCGGTTCACGTCCTGGACCTGGTGGCTTAAAACTCATGCCGGGCACGCGTGTGTGCGTGCCCAAGATCCCGAGAGGAGAATGGAGGAGAAGGGATTGCAGTGTGGCCATCCCCCCTGGGGGGGTGATTTCTTCCTTTCTGTCTCTCTGTCTCTGTCTGTCTGGAGAGCACATGAGCCCTATAGCAAAAACCTCTAAAACAAAATAATAAAATTAAAAAGAAAAGAAAGAAAGAAAAGTGCAGTTGGTCACGTTGGATCCAGCTGCCCTAACCACCGTTCTTAGGGGCCGGCCCACAGGATAGTATTCTTTATTTTTTTGACCATACAGTATATGCACTCACCAGAGAGGAGAGAGACAGAGGGAGAGTGAAAAGTCACCCCCCTGGGGGGAAGGCCACACCACAATCCTTTCTCTTCCATTCTTTTCTTGTAACTTGGTGCACATGCACACGCACACATGCACCTAGCGTGAATTTCAAGCCACCAGGTCCAGGACTTGAACCTCAATGGCCATGTGGGAATCCAGCCGCCTTAACCACCTGCTACCCTCACCCCCTCCACACATGATGGTATTCTAACAGCCAGTGAGGCTTCCTGTAGGCGTGTGAGCTGCCGTTGTCTCTGCTTCATTCTCCAGCTGCCCACAGGCACCAGCGCCCCCTCTGCTGATACCAGGGCAAGGATTATTTCCTGATTTTCCAATCCTACAGGATGTGTGGACTCATGTAATGTAAACACAAGACAGAAAGTAAGAAAAACAGGGAGGGAAACACAGGAAGATCTGGATTCTGTGTGACTAGTTGTGACTAGCTGAGCCAACTGTGAGGTGAACAGAGGCACCCTGGGCATGTGTTTGCAATGAACAGATGCACCGACTGGCACGCCTGGGCCCGTGCGTGTTCAAGGGAGTACAGAGGGCAGAAGCAGAATGCACGGAACTGACTTGAGGGCTTGGCCTATCTTTATGTGAATAGGTTTTCCTAGATTGCTTATTGTTCTTGCCAAAAAGATCATGTGGGTATTAAGGCACAGTTTGCTGCTAAAGCTATCCAGACATACTTTACAGCACCACAGTATACCACTATCCCTTTCTTTCTCTGCTAGTTTACTTTTATTTGTTTCGTCATTAAATTCTACTCCATTAATCATCAGTGACACAACACAGCTTGACAGATACAGTTTAATTTGAAAGATGAGTGGAAACTGTTTGCCCTGCTGGGGCGAGGTGGTTAAGCAGCTAGATCCCTCATGGCTGAATGCATGGCTTGAGTCTGGACCCAGCAGCTTGAGGAACAAGCTGGGTGCAAGTGCATGCATACCTAAAACCCCAGGACTGGGCAGGGATTGGGGTGTGGCCATCCCTCCTGGGGTGCTGGTGCAGGGGGGGGGGAGTGTTTGCATCTCAGGCTCACTTTCTCCATTACCCTCTCACCAGTGAGCACATGCCCTATGGCAAATTAAAGAAAAAAAGGAAGGGTGGCAAGCAGGTGGCACGGCAGTTAAGGCCACTGTACTTCCACATGGCCAATAGCAGTTCAAATACTGGACCTACGGGCTTGAAAATTATGCCAGGCATGTGTGCACACATGCCCAAAATCTAGGGGGAGACTAGAGGAGAAGGGACT